TCTGAGGCTCATTCAGTCCTTAGAGTTCAGATAAGAAACAAATAAAGATGAATGAAAGAAAAAGGTTAAAATTTTAAAATACTAAAAAAAGTGTTTTTCTGTAATTCTCAGTCTTCGGCTTGCTGGCTTGGGGAGAATATTCTGTGGACCAGCTATTCCTCTCCCACACCTTGAGGAATCCTCATTCGAATCCATGGGAAGCCTGAGGCTGGCAAGACGTCACCAAGGGCTATCAGAAATGCATGAGGCCAGGTGCTTCCGAGAGACGGAAGAGCACTCATGGGGAGGCATGATCATGACAGAACCACATGATACAGGGAGGTGGGTCCATGTGCCACCTATAGGACCTTCAGCACGCATGCCTCAGAACCACTGACCTACAAGATCAAAACTTGCAGAGGGACCTGCATTCGGCTCATCTGAAGGCAGTTTCCTTCAAGATATGTTAAAAAAAAAAAAAAAAAAGTTGATGAATTGAACACTGTCCTTTTCAATGCAGTGGAAATTACCTCATTTTTCAACAAAACATTCCTGTGTAACTTGACTCCCGTTTAGTTAGTTAGAATGCAGGCTCAGTATATTGGTCTGTATTGAGCTTATGTAGTCCCATCCATAACAAGTGACTGCCACAGAGCCAAATGCTAAAAGCAGATTCCTTGTAAGACCAGGATTCGATTCATTCATACACTTACTATATACCTACTGTAGGCTAAATACTATCATAGACATTGCAGTTATAAAATTGAACACAAGAGAGTCCTTATTCTTAAAAATATTAAGTGCTGGCTCAGGCCTGTAATCCCAGCACTCTGGGAGGCCGAGGTGGGTGGATCACTTGAGGTCAGAAGTTCGAGACCAGCCTGGCCAACATGGTGAAACCCTGTCTCTACTAAAAATACAAAAAATTACCCAAGCTTGGTGGTATGCACCTGTAGTCCCAGCTACTTGGGAGGCTGAGGCCTGAGAATTGCTTGAAACAAGTGGGGTGAGGCTACAGTGAGCAGAGATCATGCCACTGCATTCTAGCCTGGGCAAGAGTAAGACTCTGTCTCCAAAAAAGAAAAAAAAAAAAAAAAAAAAAAAAAGAGAGGGGGGGGGGGAGGGGGGGGGGGAGGAGGAGAAGGAGAAGGAGAAGGAGAAGGAGAAGGAGAAGAAGAAGAAGAAGAGGAAGAAGAAGAAGAAGAAGGGGAAAGGAGGTGCTGTTCTCTCAGGGAAAAACTGATGGTGAAAACCGCTGGTGTGCTAACTGCTAGATGGAATAAGTGCTACATATGTCAGACGTAGGAAATGCTCTAAAGGGCGGCCTAAAGCAGAGTAATGGGACAGACAAGAGAGTGAGGTAAACCAAGCTGAGTGCTGATGATTTCAGAAATGGCTAGTAAGCAAGGGAGCCAGAAAGGCAAAAGGCTCTGCTTAATTTTATATTACTATCAAATCAAGTCTAAAAATTAAATGACAAATATCTTAGATAATAAGCAAATGGGAGTCAAAGGAAAAAGGAAAGAGACCTTTATTAGACAGTTTACTACTAACAGTCACTGCAGCAGTGATGCCCCTCATTGTGAGATCCTTTCTTTTTTTTTTTTTGAGACTAAGTCTCGCTCTGTTGCCGGGCTGGAGTGCAGAGGGCAGTCTCAGTTTACTGCAACCTCCGTGTCCTGGATTCAAGCAATTCTCCTGCCTCAGCCTCCCAAGTAGCTGGGACTACAGGCGCGCACCACCATGCCCAGCTAATTTTTTTGTATTTTCAGTAGAGACGAGGTTTCACCATGTTGGCAAGGAGGGTCTCGATCTCTTGACCTCATGATCCGCCCACCTCAGCCTCCCAAAGTGCTGGGATTACAGGCGTGAGCCTCCACGCTTGGCCGAGATCCTTTCTATCAACTCCCCTCAGAAGCTGCTTCTGGTAGATGTAAATTATCCTTTAACTGCCCATTTCTGTTCTATTGTAGCCACATGTATCTGTGTCTGCTACTGATCATGCCTTCCTCCTGCCAGCTGGTTTTCTAATTTTTCAGATTCTAGAAATTATAAACAGAAAAAAATCTGTTCAAAATAACCTGATATCATGTGGCATATTGACACATTAAAAGAATCCTGTCATTGCCTAACCAAAGTCGTATTTCTACTCTCAATATTTCTCTAATAGAAAACAAAGCTTATATGTAATGTATGAATGTCCTACTGTTGTTTATTTACACTTTATATAAAGTTTTAGTAATGTAAAATACAACATTATTCCTATTTTGGGGGGTAATAGAACAATAAGTTGTGCTATAAATAAGAAAGCCTTCTAACAAATTCTGATCTAAAATGTGGCTTACCACAAAATTTCAGGTAGTTTAAGGAAGGAAAAACAATTAAAAGACTTGTGAAAAAGAAAAAATGGGAAAATATATGAACAGTTGAAGTCTCTCTTAGAAAACAACTTTTCAAGTAAATATAATCATTATAGTAACTGCTGAATGACCACTACAGTTACCACATAGATCATCATATGATACTTAAATAGCTAGTAAGAAAATAGGAAAGCTGTCTTTTGAGACAGAAAAAATAGACATATTAGAAATATTTTCACAGTTAAAGGCAAAAGGTTTTAGAATTCCTTAGAATGGTTCACTTAAGAAATTCAGTGGTTCTGAATTACTTAAATTATAGGTTGGTTTTATCTGTGAAAGCCAAATACAATATTAAGTATTAGCACACAACCAATAATTACATAGAACTCTATACCAAAGGAAGATGCCTTTCTTGGTAGAAAAATGACTACGAAAAGTTTAAAAAAAAAAATCATACAGCATTGAAAGGGAGCCCACTATTTTTTCCTTTCATTTAAATCAATAGTCAAGAAGCAAAATGTTGGGAGTTATAGAATAAAACAAGTGAGCCATCATAAAAAAGCAGACACAAGAATCTTTCAAATATAAGAGAAAACGCTAGCTCCTCTTAAGTTTAGAACACGGGTAGTTAAAAGGTCAATATTCACAGGAGATAAGGGGTTTATCAATAAGTTAACAGTTACTCTGATATCTCCAAATACTTGGAAACTCATCCCTTCCGATGATGGGCCAGACTTAGTGCTTCACTTCTAATGAAAAGAATAGTTGGGAGTGATACTCTGTCACTTCCACAACTAGCTCATAAAGAGGATCCAGTTCTGCCTGGCATGCATGCTCCTCTGAGGATGGCTGCCCTTAGAACCCAAGCACCAGGTTGTGAGGAAGTCCAGGCCACACAGAGAAGCCACGTGTGGGTGTTCCAGCCAGTATCTTCTCCTAGACGCCCCAGCTGATGCCAACAGCAGACATCAGTCACATGAAGAATACGCCTGAAGATGATTCCAGAACCTGGCCTTTGAGTCATCCAGTTTAAGACCCATACATTGTGGAGCAGAGACAAGCCATCCCTACTCTGTACTCTGAATTCCTGACTCATAGGAACTGTCTGAAATAATACAAGTTTCTTGTTTTAAGACACTAAGTTTTGGGGTAATTTGTTTTGCAGCAACAGATAAACCAACATATTTACCTACAATACACATACATCAAATACAGAATGATTTTTCAAACTGAAAAATCACCTTTATACAAACCAATTATAGATTATATCCTCCATTTAATAATTTTAGAAGGTTTTATCTAATAACACAATTAAACTTCATTTATTTGAATTTGTCTAATTTGAAAATATAAGACAATTTATACTCTAAATTTTAGAGCACTTTGGTTGAATATAATCATTAAAGTAGCTCTGGAAGGAGAGTTTAAGTAATCCACACACAAAGACGAGAATACTGAAGCTAATTAAGAGAATAAATTGGCTTTGAAGTACTTTAAAATTACAGCACTGCTATGGTTTGAATGTCCCCTCCAAAACTCATGTTGAAATTTAATTGCCAGTGAAATGGCATTGAAAGGTGGGTCCTTTAAGAGGTGATCTCTCTTAAGAGCAAAGCCCTCATGAATGGATTAATGCTGTTATCACAGGTGTGGGTTAGTTATATCAGGAGTAGGCTCCTGATAAAAGGATAATCATTTTGCCCTCTTGCTCTCACTCGCATTTTCTTGCCCTTCCACCACGTAATGATGCAGCAAGAAGGCTGTCACCAGATGCCAAGCAGATGCTGGTGACATGCTCTTGGACCTCCCAGCCTCCAGAATCATGATCCAAATAAATCTCTTTTCTTTATAAATTACCCAGTCTGTGGTATTCTATTATAGCTACAGAAAATTAAGACAAGCACTCTCCATATAGAAAGCATTCAATAGTTAATAGCCAAGTGCAGTGGCTCACACCTGTAATCCCAGCATTTTGGAAGGCTGAGGTGGGTGGGTCACTTGAGCTCCAAAGTTCAAGACCAGCCTGGGCAATGTGGCAAAACCTCATCCCTACAAAAAATACAAAAATCAGCCAAGCGTGGTGGCCTGTGCCTGCAGTCCCAGCTACTCCGGAGGCTGAGGCACAAGAATTGCTTGAACCTGGGAGGCAGAAGTTGCAGTGAGCGGAGATCATACTACTGCACTCCAGCCTGGGTGACAGAATCAGACCCTGTCTCAAAACAAACAAACAAACAAACAAACGCACGCTACTCAATAGTTATTAAGCATCAAATGAAAATCAGATTCTTCAAGTTCTTCCTAATCACTTTTCACATATGAATTAAAATCTTATTTTGTAGAACTAGTCAGTTTAGTTCAAGCAAATTATTTGCACATACATACATATTTTATCTTTTCCTAATAAAAGGTGAATTCCCTGATGACATTCCTTGTCTTGTTCACCTCTGTGTCCCCAATGGGCATAACACAATGCTGTATGTCAAGCATTGTACTAGGCAAATATTTACATAAATGATCAAGCTGCAATAATACACATGAAGCTAACTCAATTGTCTTACAATTCACCTTCTTTCTACTAATTTGTTCTGCTCTTCCTCACAATTATTCCAAGTTAGTTGATGTTTTATTGTATTTCCAAAGACCATACTGTGTACCCCTTTGTTAACTTTTATGAATTTATTTATAGTAAAGATAAGGTTACAAATGTCTTCCACACATACATGGTAATCTGTGGTGCTCGCCACTCCCTCCCTCCTGGGACTGACACACTGCAGTCCACGCTGCTCACACTGCAGCCCCATCCTTGCGTGAGAGAATGGCGCCACCTAGGGCTGTGCGATGTGTCAGCCTGCTCATTCCCTTCTCCAGCTCAGGACAGAGAAAAACAATTCATTCATAAGGTTTCCATTCTGTTATAGGCAGAGATTTATAAATCAGCATGATTTTTCAAAGAGTACAAAGTTAAACCGTTCTGCTTAGAAAAGAATAAACACAACCAATCGTTATTCCTCTAGTATAGTCAAAACAGAGATCAAACTTCTTTGACAGCGTTATAATTTCTCTGCTCAGACTTAGACTTCAGAATCAAAATTCTGAAACATTTATTTATAAGGTTAATAACTACCTTTGAAGTTAAGCAGTTCACTGAGCAATTAAATATTTTTGTCCATACACATTCAGATTTAACTATCACTATAAATAGTCATAATTTCTCCAGTTTCAGTCTGAACACATAACTTATAGTAATAAGACACAGGTTCTAGTACAGATTTTCTAATCAGTGGTATGGCCCTAAACAAGCCAGGTTAGATCTCTGCCTTCACCCACATCAAACAGGAATAATAATATATTTCCTTAACCTATCTTCTAGGTAAACAGATGAGATTATATGAAAACATTTTGCTAAAGTCGCTAAACAAAAATAAGAAAAAAATATGTAAGGTTTTTCTATCACATTAACTATTTTTTAATATTTGATTGACATTTTTGTAATATAACCAAAATAAAAATTGCATACTTTCAAGAATGACAAAATTCTGTAGTTATACAACGTGAATTAAAATAGTAAAAGCTAGTCATAATATGAAGTCCACTCATCCATGTTCTCATTTAATCACTTTAAGAAATAATAATTATAAAAATAGGTAAAATTCCATGAAAACATTCCCATTTGTTCTAGTTCAGGAGGTCTTGCCCACATCAACGGACTGTCTGGCATCAGCCACTGTTTCAGGCACTCGAACAGTCATATTGTCCATAGATTTTGTCAAACAGATTTGGCAGCCCAACCGTGACCTGTATGGAGAAGGGGGAAAATATGGTTTACTATTACATATATATATTCACAAGGTAATGCTGTTGTTTAAGATAGTCTTTATGTTTTCTTACCCAAAGCAGTCAGGGAACTTATTAATCTTTTAAATTTCCTTCATGTCAAAACAGATATAACCAACCCTATCAACTAGAGAGTAACAAAAGGTAAATATGAATACAATAAACCTGGTGTAGTAAAGCTTCATTTTAGCCTGTGGTTCCTATTATCTATTAACTGTTTCACCAGACCACTATTTTTTGGTCAAAGAGCTGACAAGCAAGGAAACAATCAAAAGGCATAATGGTGGGGAACTGAGGTTATTAGCAAGGCCAAGAAAATGATTAATCAATTCCTAGATAATTAAAACTACACAGACTATAAAAGGAAGCTACACTTTTTAAAGCCTTTAAAAGAAGAAATCTGGAATAAATACATAGACTTAAGTCATCAATTATAACAGCATATTTTTTCTCAAATTTTTACCATCTCTGAAAATCAAGAAGCATCTTAAAATCAGTGGAATCTTCCAATCACTGCTACACTGTCAGGTAATGGTCATCTCACAGCTATAAATTTGGTGACAATATTCATATAGGGGTCTCTTCAACTTAGTTATGGAAAGTATGTAAGTTCCACATGTTGAATTTACCTACTTTTCAAAATAAGTATAAAAAGATTGCAAAATGAAAACGAAGAAGAATACAGAAAGAAAGCAGGGTATAAATTTGGAATTAATAAATATTTGTCATTTTAAGAATGACTATAATTTTCTTTTTTTTTTTTTTTTAGAATTACTACTAATTTTCTTTTGTGTTTATTTTCCTTTTTTTTTTTTTTTAGACAGGGTCTGGCTCTGTCACCCAGGCTGGAGTGCACTGGCATGATTTCAGCTCACTACAACCTCTACCTCCCAGGCTCTGGTAATCCTCCCACCTCAGCCTCCTGAGTAGTTGGGACTACAGGCATACACCACCACGCTTGAATAATTTTTGAATGTTTTGTAGAGACAAGGTTTCACCATGTTGCTTAGGCTGGTCTCAACCTCCTGGGGTCAAGTGATCTATCCGCCTCAGCCTCCCAAAGTGTTGGGATTACAGGCAAGAGGCACAGCACTCAGCCATTTTCTTTTCTTAAAGTGATATATAATTCAAATCTGTGTCTAGAGAAGTCTAACTCACTCTTTCAATATGCAGAAAATATGTTAAGTGATAACACTGTGTCTTATTTGAATTAGCAGTGCTTTTCTCTTCCTTAGTGGCATATAAAAAGAAATGTTAATCTTACAATCGACATGTCTTCGATTTGATGAAATGTGATATTCAGGTCTTGGTTTTATTAATGTATTCATCAAGCATTTATGGAGCACCTAAAGGCACAATACTAAATGTCAGTGACGAAGACCAACTCAACTCCACACTTTCTTGTTGAACACCTCTTACTTTCTGGGCATTGGGATGCACTAAAGAGACAGCATCAGAGTTACAACCAAAAAGACCAGCAGTGCAGAACCCAGCACTTAATACACCATGTTCACAGGCAACTTGCTTAACCTCACCAAATGCTGGTTTCCTAACCTGATCTTCAAGATGAGTAGGAGAATTCCTCACAGGACTGATGTGAGGATTGGTTGCTAATGCCAGCATTAATGAGTAAACTTTCAATCAAAGGGATGAGATGAGACACATTCAGACACTTAACATGTGAGACTGTGGCAAATGCCACCAAGGGAGAAAGCCAAATGGCTCTGAGAGGTCTAAGAAGAAAGCACTTACTTCTGGCCATGGGAGGTAGTGTTTGGCTTTGCAGGATAGGTAGGATTTACTATTTACTATTTAGTAAAAGATAAAGGAGAAAAGTATGTGAGGCAAAGGCAACACAACGCAGAGAAGCTCAAGCCACATTTAAGGCAAGATGGGTGTTTTAGCTTGGTTGCTGCACAGTGTAAACAAGGACAAGGGGAATGATGGGCCAGAAAGGCGGCCAGAGGCACAGGCAGCTGTGAGTATCAGTTAAGGGGTCTGTGTTTCACTGGTGAGCAAGGAGGCACCACCAGGAAGTTTTGGAGTAAAGGGGTATGCTTAACCATGAGAAATACTGATTACTAATGGAAAAAAATCCCTTCTACGAAGAGTTCTTTATTTGTAGAATTGGAAACAGCCTTCACAATACTCAAGTATGCATTAAGCTCTGTCTGCAAGAGAGAAAAAGTGGCGAGCCAATTTGGACAAATTCACTAAGACAGCAGTGAGCTCTAGAGAGTCTGTTAATTACTCTTGGTATTCATATACAGATAGCAAGATGATGCTGGTCTTCAAGGAACTGTTACTTTAGTAAGGGAAACAGAGAGGGAAACAGTTATCAGTGAAACATGGCAGGATACCAGAAGTGTGTTGATAGAAGAACAATAAGCCTGTTATGGGAACACAGAAAGAGACGGAACAAAAAGCTCCTGCTCACTCTAGAAAATAAGGCAGTGGCGCTCCGTGGCTATTTCCTCACTCTCCTACTTTTTCTGCTTCCTTAAAGGTCTCTGGCTCCAAGATTCACCAATACAGACGGTGTCTCATACTTTGGAGAAGGAAACAGACAACAAGGCTCCCCTGATTTCACACTTTTGAGTCCCAAAACATTCTGACACCTGTGCAAACCTCGAAGTTATTTTCTCCAGTCACTCTTGCCATATATCCCTGATGGTGAAAATATACTGGGTACTGGGTTTAGTTTAGATCTAGGGTTTGGTTTTCAATTCAGAGAAGCAGCTTGAAAGAGTAAAAGACTAAAGGCTTTGTGGCCCAGCATAGCTGGATTTAAATCAGGGGTGTTACCCACTAGCTGTGCAGCCTTAAGCAAATCCGCGACAACTAAACCTTGTCTCCCCACCTACAATATGGTGATAGTACTGCCTAACCCTGAAGGTTAGAAATAATATTTAAGTGCCTAGGCATTACAGTAAATTCCCAATAGATAGGTCGATATGATGGTAGTTACAATGCTAACAACTATCATTTAATGAACGCTTTCTCCACCAAGCACTGTTCTGAGAGCTTCACATATACTTCCTCATTAACTCCACACAGCAATACTGTGAGGTAGATACTATTATTAACCTCATCTTACATATAAGGAATCTGAGGCCTCTGTGTAGATTATCCATGCAAACTGGTGGCAGGGAGCAATGACAATCATCCAGTGTAAACTCACAGGTAATTCCTGAATCTCCCTTTCCATCAACTATTAATTCCGCAAGCAGTTGGTGACCTCTATTGTGAATCTGGCATTAGAGATACAATGGTAAAATAAGACATGGCGGCTCCTCTAATGGGAAAAGGGAGAGAGGTAACCAGTATGAAAAAAACAATGAGGCTGTCCATGTATCATCCATCCATCAGCAATCAAGGTAAGGACAACCAATAAAACATGGAAGCCAGGCACGGTGGCTCACGCCTGTAATCCCAGCACTTTGGGAGGCCAAGGCGGGCAGATCACAAGGTCAGGAGTTCGAGACCAGTCTGGCCAACATGGTGAAACTCCGTCTCTACTAAAAATACAAAAATCAGCCGGGCATGGTGGCGGGAACCTGTAATCCTAGCTACTTGGGAGGCTGAGGCAGAAGAATTGCTTGAACCCAGGAGGCAGAGGTTGCAGTGAGCCAAGATCATGCCACTGCACTCCAGCAAGGGTAACAAAGCAAGACTCTGTCTCAAAAAAAAAAAAAAAAATGAAATGATGGTGTTTTTGCTTAAAAATTAAAAACATTTACATAGTATTTAAAGTAAAGTAAGTATATGAACTAAAAGGCTGAATTTCCTTATTTCTTTTTTTGAAACTTTCTGATACCCTAAAAATAAGTTTACCTGTGGTTACCAGCTTTGAACAAAATTCTTTCCATTCCAAATATGTCAATGTGTTTTGTAAATGCTAGCTGTGAAACTCATTATACTCTTTGCCACAAAGTATTTCTACTAAAATGCTGTGTACTTAAGAATACCAGCCATAGGCCGGGCGTGGTGGCTCAAGCCTGTAATCCTAGCACTTTGGGAGGCCGAGACGGGCGGATCACGAGGTCAGGACATCGAGACCATCCTGGCTAACACGGTGAAACTTCAGCTCTACTAAAAAATACAAAAAAAAAAACTAGCCGGGCGAGGTGGCGGGCGCCTGTAGTCCCAGCTACTCGGGAGGCTGAGGCAGGAGAATGGCGTAAACCCGGGAGGCGGAGCTTACAGTGAGCTGAGATCCAGCCACTGCACTCCAGCCTGGGCGACACAGCGAGTCTCCATCTCAAAAAAAAAAAAAAAAAAAAAAAAAAGAATACTAGCCATAAAACACTATAAAAGCTATTCCTTGCTCTCCATTATCTAGCTCTAAAACTTGGCAATTTTATCATCAATATTCTTGCTAGCTGACGTTTATTACAGACCTTTTGTATCTAACTGTAGCTCTTCCTTTTCCCTTTCTTTTCAATTAGAAAATTATCTATTACATGCATCTATAAATGTAACTGTATAAAAGGGTAAGCAGTTAGTTATGATTTACCTCTCTTTTTAAGAGACACAATTCTCAGAACCAAACCAATACAGTCATTGGATTTAGTTTCTGTGTTAAGGGGGAAAAAAGGAGGTGCTCATAGAGAACATGGCACTGAAGATGTGAGGGGACAGGCAGACAGTAGCCACAATCCACTCTGCTTTGGTGTCCAAACAGACACTATTTCACCAGTTTCTCTTCCCAGAGTTATCAGTCTCACATCTACCAAGAGGGAAATGAACTATAAAAAGGAACAAAATGATTCTTCTTCTCTAAATAAATACAAATGACTTGAAAATTTTTGTGAGGATTAAATGGGGTAGTTTATGTTAAGTATATAACAAAATTGTAGCTATATAATACACATGAAATAAAACTATTATTACTGTTTTTAATTTTTAAAAAGTTATTTGTCATTAAGGTCACCAAACTAGAGTTAAACAAAGCCAACCTTAATTAATAAGCTCTATCTTACCCCTTGAAACAGTATATCAGCTAGCTACCTTCATCGACTCTAATTGAAAGACTAGATATTTTAAGAAAAAAAGAAGTTATCACTTAATGTCACTTGCTACTGGAAATCTCACCACTTTCAAGAGTAACTCTACCTATTAATTAATAACAAGAATAAGCTCTGATTAAGGTACACTTAGAAAAAGAACTACTCATTTTAACATAATTACTATTATATATTAAGTTTCTTTAAAAATTCTGTTCTCTTCAATAGGTAAAACTTTCCACCATAATTGTGTTCAATTATCAAACCTGTCCTTCAAGAATACTATAAAAGCATTAAATGTAACCCCTCTATTCAGCTGTAATAAATATTAGTTCCTGGAGTAAAAAGAGACTAAAGAAGAGGTGTTAGGATCTATAACTTGTACTTCCAATACTTCCAATTAATTTTTTTTACTTTTGTGAAGTTTCATAAGGTCTAAACTATAGCAGTGAAAACCAAGAGAATTGCCACATATATGATACTCAAAATCTGTGACTGTTATTTAACCTGGTAGAATACTATTACTTTCATGGGTCTGGTCTTACATAGACAACATAATAAAACACCTATGTTCCCAGATTATTAGTACAATTGAAGCAGTCCCAAAATCTTACCTGTCTGTGAGTCCATATGCCAGATCAAGCATGTCATTCTCCTCATCAGTGATTGCATCTAACTTCTCATATATGTGATCTTCAAAGATGAGGTGACAGGTTGAACAAGCCAGGGTTCCCTCACATGCACCTGACAAAAGCAACAAACACTGAAAATACTCCCTTTTACATCAGATGATTCAAACCTGGTTCAGTAAAGGTTTCTAAATGTTAGAATCAGCATTAGAATACATAAGTGAGGCCAGGCACAGCGGCTCACACCTGTAATCCCAGTGATTTGGGAAGCCAAAGCAGGCAGATCACTTCAGGTCAGGAGTTCGAGACCAGCCTGGCTAATATGGTGAAATCCTGTCTTTACTAAAAATACAAAAATTAGCCAGGCATGGTGGCACATGCTTGTAGTCCCAGCTACTAGGGAGGCTGAGGCAGAAGAATTACTTGAACGGGGCAGGCGGAGGTTACAGTGAGCTAAGGTTGCACTCCAGCCGGGGCGAGAGTAAGACTCTGTCTCAAAAAAAAAAAAAAGAAAGAAAAGAAAAGAAAAGTAGAATACATAAATGAAAGTTGAAAATGAAGAGAATAGGGGCAACAACCCTCCATCCCCTGCCGCACGCGCACACACACACGCACGAGTTTGAAATCCCTCACGTTGTATTATTTCACAAAGGTTTTGGCATGGTGCTATGAAGGAATACCTATGAAAATACATAGTCCTAATAGAAAGCTTAAAAATTAATAAGCTGAGACATGCATATATATAAAAGTGTGTGCATTTTTAAACTTACCTAGTAATTACTGACATAATAGCAATGTAAGTTATGGTATATAAGAGGAACTAGAAAGCAATCAAACCTATCACTAAATTAAGTTAAATGTTTAAGTGTTACTCAGACTTTGCTTGAAAATCTCCTGACAAAGAAACCAACACCACATAAGTCAGCCAATTTTGCATTCGGCTGGCTTCCACCAAGCTAAAGTCTGCCACTCTGTAACTAGCACCTACTGGTCCAGTGCTATCCCATGGAGTTTAATCCTTCTAAATGATAGCTTTTCATTTATTTGAAATTATTCTTCCTTCTCCCAGCTGAGCATCCCCAGGTCGTTCCACTAGGTCCTTCCACTGTTTCTTACACAACACAGTTCTAACTCCCATCCCTCAGGCTAGTTGCGCTTTTCTTAAAATATGGCATCCAGAACATATTAGTATCCCAGGGGAGAACCCGACAACAGAGGCATGCAGAATCACAGTCTGGTTAAATCTAACTTTAAAAACAGGGATTCGGGTTTGTTTTTACATGAATTTTTAAAGTCACTGTACAATTTCAAAGACTATAGAGTCCTCAGAGTAACTTCACTTTGATTTATATTCTCTTTTGGAACTAAACATTATATGAAATATACACAGCCACTATTAACAACTAGTAACCTTCTTAATTTTCCTCTGAATGGATCATTTTAACTAGAGTTGTTCCTTCCTTATAATTTAAGCACTTGTTATTCATATTTTACCATTAAAGAAAAAAAAAAAACAGGCCAGGCATGGTGGCTCACTCCTGTAATCCCAGCACTTTGGGAGGCCGAGGCAGGCAGATCATGTGAGGTTCGAGACCAGCCTGGCCAACATAGTGAAACCCTGGCTCTACTAAAAATGCAAAAATTAGCTGGGCACGGTGGTGCGCACCTGTAATCCCAGCTACTCGGGAGGCCAAAGCAGAAGAATCGCTTGAACCTGGGAGGCAGGCAGAGATTGCAGTGAGCCAAGATCAAACCGCTGCACTCCAGCCTGGGCGACAGAGTGAGACTCCGTCTCAAAAAAAAAAAAAAAAAGAAAAAAAAAAGAACCATTGAGAGGTCTCTCTAAATCTTCATTTTTATTAAATCCAATTCAAAGCAATAATAGAATTAGGGAGAGCGAGACCATATAGTGAAGTACAAGAGTTAGGAGCATAGGCTTTCAGCCAGACTTCCTCCCTTCAACTACAGCTTCCCTTTTTATTAACCCTGTCACCTTGGGCTACTTTACCTTCCATGTCTCAGCTTCCTCAAGAGTAACTACACTAACCTCACATAGTAGTTCCAAGAATTACACATGACTGCATACTTAATATATATGAATATATATACTGGCAACCATGACTGGCAGATAGTATGTGCTATGTAAGTGTTGGTAAACTATTATTATTATCTGGAAGTCACAGAAACTCTTAGAGCAATTGAACTTTATTTGTAAACATAAGAGGTTAAATTAAGAATTAAGCCCCAGAAGATAAAGAAATGGACTAAGGTCATACCACTAGTTAGAGATGAGTTAGGACTTCAGCTTAAGTTTCCCAGTGCTGTAGGCAACTAATCATTACTGTATCGCCATACAATAACGTAAGTTGCCTTACTTATATATTAAATGGAGAGAAAAGGCTCATATGCCAACAAATCCCTCCTGAAAATCAAAGGACACTGCTTTTTGTACCAGTGGCCAGTCGAAATGAAGAGTTACCATCCTGTTCTAGCTCCTTCATAGGTTTCAAATTCTCTCCCTCTCTTCCCTAGGAAGCTTCCATTCTTTTAACCTTCTCTTAAAGGTATTCTTCTATTCTCTTATTTAAATTTTCATGGTTCAGGAACCTTGGCAATCGTTTCCACATCTTGCTTAAGTTGCTAAGCTCAGCGCTGAAGAGACTATTCTAATAAGAATTTGATCTCTACTAAAAATACAAAAAAAATAGCCAGGCGTGGTGGCGGGCGCCTGTAGTCCCAGCACTTTGGGAGGCTGAGGCGGGCGGTTCACGAGGTCAGGAGATGGAGACCATCCTGGCTAACACGGTGAAACCCGTCTCTACTAAAAATACAAAAAATTAGCTGGGCGTGGTGGCGGCACCTGCAGTCCCAGCTACTTGGAGGCTGAGGCAGGAGAATGGCGTGAACCCGGGAGGCGGAGCTTGCAGTGAGCCAAGATCGCGCCACTGCACTCCAGCCTGGGCGACAAAGCGAGACTCTGTCTCAAAAAAAAAAACCCAAAAAAAAAAAACAAAGAATTTGAAAAATGCTGAATATGTACAGATCAACTTTTGATGTCTACACACTAAGTTCCTATTATACATTCTAGTCCCATATTTATTCTTTAAATGAACACATCGTATTCATGATCCCTCATTATTTTATGATCCTTTTCGAACCTTTTCTGCCACAAAAACCTGTCAACAATTTATCCTTTCTTATTCTCTGTACTAGGAAGAAGTTCAAATATAATAGAAACTATAAGACTCAGAATGAAATCAGCCTATGTGAGAGAGCTAACACTAAACCAGAGAAAGCTCATGGTCAGACTGTGTTACTACAGAAACGATCTGTAGCAAGGGTTTACAAGACCCCATGGATAGCACTTAAGAACTATTCTGTCCTTGCCATAGTCAGGGCTCAAAGAAAAATTTAAAAAATAAAAAAGTAAAAAGAAACTTTCAATCTTGCAAAATTCCATAAGAAGACAGATGATTCATTTTCTAGAGTTTGTTTTGAGATTTAACCTATATGGTTTATTAACAAATAAAGAATTTTTGAGAATATTGGAGACACCTATCCAAAAAGGGTATTTAGGAGGAAAAAAAACCCTGCAAAAATAAGGTAAATATTTGGGTATAAAAAGAGCTTAAAACTCTGAGAAGAACAAGAGACTATTTAAGAGAAAAAAAAAAAAGTTCCTCCTTTTCTGTTTTCTTTATCTCATAAAATACTGCCATTTCATGATAGCTGTGTCCTCCAATTACTACTTGTCTCAGTGTTCAGTTCTACGAGGTTTTTTGTTTTGTTTTGTTTGTTTTTTGAGACAGAGTCTTACTCTTATTGCCCAGGTTGGAGTGCAATGGCATGATCCTCCGCAACCCGGGTTCAACCTCCGCCTCCTGGGTTCAAGCGATTCTCCTGCCTCAGCCTCCTGGAGTAGCTGAGATTACAGGCATAAGCCACCACGGCTGGCTAATTTTTGTATTTTTAGCAGAGACGGGGTTTCACCATGTTGTCCAGGCTGGTCTCGAACTCCTGACCTCAGGTGATCCGCCTGCCTCAGCCTCCCAAAGTGTTGGGGTTACAGGCGTTGAGCCACTGCACCCGGCCAGTTCTGTGAGTTTTAATGCATGTATAGACTTGTGTAACCACCACCACACTCAGGATACAGAGCAGCTTCATCAGCCTAAAACATTCCCTTTTACTGTTGCTTTGTTGTCACAGTCTACCCCATCCCTAACCCCTGGCAACCACTGATCTGTTCCCTATCACTGTAGTTTAGTCTTTTCCAGAATGTTCACATAAATAGAATCATACAGTGTATGACTGAAACTGCCTTCTTTCACTCAACACAATGCCTCTAAGATTCATCCAATGTGTTGTGTGTATCCATAATTTGTTCCCTTTCATTGCTAAGAAGCATTCCACTGTTTGAATGTCCCACGGTTTGTTTCTAATAGGTATTTGGTGGTGTCACATTGTGACTTTCATTCACATTCTCTACAAGAAATTAAAGGTGTAAAATATCTTTTTTTTTTTTAACTTTGCCTCATTTTTTTTTCCAAAGCCACTTGGGAGTATGACATCACCATTAGTCTCCTGTTCCTCTAGAAGAAAACTCTAAACAACACAGAGTCGTTCATACAAGCAAGTTCAGTCCCGATGCCCCTCAATTATCTTTTTATGAGCTTATTTGCCATCTCTACATTCTCCTTGGTGAAGTGTCTGTTCATATCTTTTGCCCATTTTTTAACTGGGTTGTTTCTTACTGTTAAGTTTTGAGAGCTTTCTATATATTGGGGATACAAGTCCTTTCACTGGATATGTGATTTACAAGTATTTTCTCCCAGTCTGTAGTTTGTCTTTTCACTCCCTTAACAGTGTCTTTGGAAGAACAAAAGTTTTTAATTTTGATGGAGTCTAATTTATATATTTTTTCTTATATATAAGAAAAAATTGTGCTCTTCTGGTCATGTCTAATTCTTTGCCTACCTACCCACAGGTCCTAAAGATATTCCTTTGTTCTTTCTTTGAGGAATTTACAGTTCCAAATCCTACATTTAGATCTAAGTCAATTTTGCATTACTGTTTTTATGAGATTTATGAGGTTTAGGTTGACGCTCCTTTTTTTCC